TTTAATAGGCTGTAATTCTAAGGTCTCCCTAATTTAGTCTAGCCTTTCTCTCCCCAAATACTAGGTTTGGCAACAGTCTTGAAGCCGGGCTCCTGTTGGCGTGGGAACACTGAAGAAAAGTCACACTCTATTCAATAAATACACAGATATTGCTTCCTCGAGTCTACTGGAACAATGCAGCAAAGACAGACTCTGCCTGAGACCAAGGCATGACACAGTTTTCCTAAAGTGGTATTCACAGAGAAAAGCATGTCCTGCCTTATGCCTCACGCTCTAAGGGGGCTTCCTGCGATACACAGACTCCCAGAGGCCAACCTTTAAAAACCAGTCATAAAATGAAATGGCTTTACAAGAAACTCCCAGGTACCCCCCTGCCCCTGCCCGGTGAGTTTTGAGACCCCGATCTTAGTTCTGTGTCCCCTGCTCACGGCTGAGATCATTTCTCCTGCTTTACCTACCCTTCCCATGGAAACCTCGTCTCGGCTGCCAGGTCTGTTTTTTAAACAGTGCTTACTACAGATAGGGGAAGGTATAAACAGGCCTAGCTGACTCTGGGTGAAGAAGCCTGGGGCTCACCCATGACTTTATCAGGAGCTGCTATGAGGCAGGGAGCACTGCCCTCAGCCAACAGTGGAACTCCAAGGCTCTCACACACCATCCATCGGAACACGCATCTCTGCAAACTGTGGCGCCAACCCAAATCCAGCAGGCCTTTCTTCCCCCATCCCTAACCCTCCTACCACTTCCTCTTCTCACACCTGACTGGACCCTTGCAGCCCAGCGTCCCCACACACATCATCTTCCATGGCACATAGCTCCGTGCCCTCAGACCAGCTGGCTTGTGATTAAAATGGACCACACTAGGAAGTGCCAGAGTGCAGAGCCTATTGTATCAGGTTTCCTTGGCCTTTTATAGACACGCCATGAACCTTGAGAATGTGAGGTGGTGGCCTGAGACCCTGCGGGACTGTGTTCTAATGGGGTTCAGTCATCCATGGGCTAAAGCAACCACTTGGCTCTCAGGACCCAACTCTGAAAACAGAAGTGTGTGGCCGGGGTCTGGCTAAGATCTCCGGACTCTGACTTAACTCTCAATGTCTGAACACTCCCCGAAGATACTGCCGGAGGAACAGGGGGCCCAGGAAGCTTGCCCATCCACCTTTGTAAGGATCCTCAAGACTTCTGTTCTCTTCCTTGCTTTTTAATTTTAATTTTTTGTTTTTTTTTTTAAGACAGGGTCTCACCGGACGGTGGTGGCGCACGCCTTTAATCCCAGCACTCGGGAGGCAGAGGCAGGCGGATCTCTGTGAGTTCGAGGCTGGGCTGGACCGACAGCCTCGAAAACAATACAGAGAAACCCTGTCTCGTAAAAACCAAAAAAAAAAAAAAAAAAAAGACAGGGTCTCATGTAGTCCAGGCTGGGCTCTAACTTACTGTGTAGCCAAGGATGACCTTGAACTCCTCATCCTCCTTCCAGTCTCTCAAGTTAAGTGATTACAGGGGTGAACTACACTTTCACCTCAATTCTTTTTTTTTCCTTTTTTTTTTTTTTGCTTAGACACCAAAGAGGTTTCGAGATTATCCAAATAATCAAACATTATTAGTATATCGAAATCCCTTTTTTTTTCTTTTTTGGAGAGTCACCAGGCAGAGCCCTGGCCCTTGGGTAACATTGTTATAGGAGGCAATGCACAGACAGCAGGGAGAGGCACTGACCTCCTCCATACCTCACTTGGAGTCAGCAAACAAGACAGAAATGATTCTGCACCAGCTGCCAGGTGAGAAACTATGGCACCACGGTTACCTGTGCTGTCCTAAAGGAGCATGAGACATCTAGACAGGCTCCCCCAAAACACTGACTTTAATGAGAATTCCATTCTAGAGAACAGGAAAAGAGGGCCAGGGCGTTATGCCACCAGATTTTGGTGTCCGGGATCACCTCGGCCAATGTAAGTTCTATGCCAAGCCTTGCAAAAGGCCTGTGTGCCCTGGGACACAACCACTTTCTGCCGTAACTTGGCTGAATTTAAAACTGAACAGGTCACTTGAAGGTGAAGGTATAAGGCTAAAAAGCCAACCTGTTTTCCTTTGTCCTGGGACTAAGGAACTTCCGGGGGAAGGGGGTTACTTCTTAGAGAGATGATGAGCCAACCCCAACCGCTTGGAGCGGGAAAGACACAAAGCTCACAGAGGGTCTGTTATGGAGGACCCACAGGGCTTGGTGTGACTCTGGATGATCTCAGGCCTGGCGGGGGGGAAGAAGCTTTTCTTCCACTGTAAAAACACGTCTGACTTGAACTCCTGAAGGTGAAGCAAAGTCGTGCCTGAGTGCAAAGACACACGGGCCTCCTCAGCTCTCTGACTGCCACTCAAGGGATCCTTACATAGGTGTCACTGACGGACCAACTCAGAAACTTTCACCTTGCAAACTCCGCCCTGATCTGACTCTGGTCTTCCCCAGCAGAACACACCAGGGCTCAAAAGTCAACAAAGTACTTCCCCCCTGTGGCTGCCTCTGGCCAGGCTCCTGCGGCCTCCACCACACCAGCTGCTGAGGAATTTACTACCCGCTGACCAGCTGTTTGCACCGCAGGAGAGCAGATAGGGAAGGTTTCGGGAGAGGAGTGAGAGAAGTCTCCCCACTCGAGGCGGCCTCAGCGCCTTTAGTCCCAGCTCACCCTTCAAAGAAGCACATGCACGCTCCACTCCAAGGAAAAGTTTCTTTTTTACCGGGCTTGAGGGATGCCCTAGAAGCAAGCAATGTGCTTGGCACTTGCTTGTAAACATTTTTTTTTCCACGCCATCACTGTACCACATCCCAAGGACTAATTGGAGCAGACAATCACTGGAGCACATTCAGATGAACTAATCCTGGTCCTTGAACTCCATGGTTTACGATGGAACATGATAAACTCAGGCAACTCCATGGAGAGACAGCCTTCAAACACACACCCCTAAAACCACCCACAGCTCCACCGATAACAACCCAAAACAAAAATGCCACTTGCATAGGTGATGAAGAATAATAAATACATTTAAATGACACATTACACACTGACAAAATAAAATGAAAGAGGCACCCAAAGAGATGTGGAGGGCTGGGTTTTACACCACACGAGCAGAGTTCAACTGTCCTGTATATATCCTGTATGGGTTCCATCCACAGGACCTAAGTTTAAAAAATGGAAAATAAACAAGACAATAAGGGGGGAAAAACCCGAACACAAATCGAATCCATCCTCTCTATCACATTGGAGAACCTGCCCACATGCGTTAGCTCTTCCTTTCTATTGGGGCGCCAAGAAACAAACCCTTCAACAGAGGCAACAGTGCTTCCATCAGAACGGCAGGAATGCAGTCCCTTTAGAGGTGGCACCAGAAGTCACAGGACACACCGGACTGTGTTGTTGTCAATCTAAGGTCACTGTGCAGCAGTTGGTCCAGGCTTTTCTGTTGTCAGGGTTATTACTGCCATTGAGCCAAATACAATTTACTGATCTAATGCCCTATTATTTAGTTACCTCTGTTTTTGTTGTGAAGTGTGAAATAAATCTGATTATATACGGCAAGATTTCCCTGAATTTGCCAAGGAATCCAATTTATATTGCAAAAGAAGCTGGTTCTGAAGTACCACCGCATCCTGAACTCTTTAGTGATGCAGGGCTCCAAAGCCTACCCCAGATATGCACCAACACAAAAGTTCCTCTGGGCTCTTCTGTGAGGCAGAAACAAAGCCGCCTAAGCACCTTTTGAGTCCCTATGGGCCTCACTTCAAACTCAGGACCATCGTTCCCGGTAAGAAACACTAAGGCCTGCCTCTACTTATGAAAGCCTAGTAAGCCAGTGTGACAAAAATCCCGCTCCCTCTCACAGATCCTAGATGAAACAGGAGAGATTTCCCTAACTCCCCCAAAGAAAACAGGGTTACATGTCCATTGTTTCTATGGCATCCATCCAAGGGGCACACACTAAATGGGCCACGCCAGAAGCGAACTTCAGAACCTCAGCCTTGCACAGGGAACAGAGAGCTTGGAGGAACCTTGAAATAAAGTACCCCCAAAAAAAAGCACCATGGGAAAAATAACTGGGGGAGACAGACAAATCATCCTGCCTCCCAATGGTGGCAAACTTCACAACAACTTTTTAAAAGCAACAAACTACAGCATCACAGCCTATATAGACAGACCGTATACATTCATGTACACACACAAGACTCCCTGGAAGGCAAGGGGTGTTTACAAATATTCCTCCAGAACTTAGAACAGGCCAGGGAAGCCGGAGACTGCAGCTTTTTTTTTTCAACACCTTCTCTGCACTGTCAGGGGAGGTCATTTTGCCCGGTCACTTCTTTGCATCACAGGAGTTTTCTACTTTCAGACTGCTCAACTTTCATATGCGCTAGTGTAAAATAACTATTCAGCAACTTCATTCACCTTGGTTTAATTTTTTTTTCATTATGCAATGCCCAGGAAAAGCTGACACCAAGACTGTCTTAGGGCTTGCAATCACAATCGGGGGGGGGGGATTAAAAAGCTTGTGTGATAGAACCCAGAGTCCTGAAAGAAAGAAAAGACCATCCTGGTGGGGCCCCTAGAACTTTTTCCCTAGGGAGACCACCCCTCGGGAACAAAAGTTACAGTTCAGTCACATGTTGGGCGTAGGAATAAGGAGAAGGGGTTTTCTTTTTCCTTTCTTATTTTTAAACGCACTAATTACGGAGGTGTTCTACAGATCTGAAGACAAACCGGGTTCCTCCTACCAACTGAGACCGGTATTACATTGTCAAAAAGAAAGGGTTTGGGGGGCCCAGGAGCCCAGACGGGGCTCGGCGGGAGAGGGGTGTAGCAAGGTTATGCTAAAGGGTACAGCCGCTGCCACGAGCTGCATCTCTTTCCCTCGCGCCCCAAATAATTCCCCGCAAGCCCAGCAACTGCACCAGCAGCCCCGGGGCGAGGGGGTTCCGATCGCCCAAGGGGAAGGGAGGAGAACCGAATCGTTACCTTAATGCTACACTGAGCAGGAGTCTCAGACATGTCTCACAGCGAGAGGGATCAGGAAGTTCTCAGTTTTTTTTCCACTTTCCTTTCCTCTCCCCAACCCAGAAACGCTCGGCGGGGCAGCGGGACGCGGTCATTTAAGAAGTTTCTTGCAGCATCGCCGGCGGCGGCCGCCCGGGGGCTGGGGAGGGGGGGTCTTCGGAGCGCACGGATCGGGCGCGCGGCGCGGGGGCGTGGGAGCCGGCGAGCACGGCGTGGGGTGTGCGGGTCGCGGCGCGGCGACCCGGGCGCAGCCGGCCGGCCTCGCGTGTCTCCTCCCACCCGCGGCCGGCGCGCCCGCCCCCGCCCTCCCCGAGGCGCTCGCTCGCTCCCTCCCTCCCTCTCTCTCTCGAATGTTTTCCTTCCTGGAAGAGAGAAACTGAAAGGCAGAACTGAGAAAGCTCTCTGCTCATTGATCTTGAGAGTTTCAGGGCAGAAACTGACGTGAATTCCCAGCACCGGGCTCTGCCTCTTAAAGGAGCCACCAGGAAATAAAAGCTCTGGTTACCGCCGGCCGCGGGGAAATCAAAAGGCGTGCGGGGGAGGGGAGGGGCGCGGGGTGCCCACGGGGCCGCCCCGAGGAGGACGCCTTTGGGGAACCTGGCAGCGTGGCCCCAGGACTCTCAAGCCTTGTTCATCCCGCGCCTGCCACCCCTGCCTTGCACCTCCGGGGCACCTGGGCCACACACAGTGGGGGCTTTTCTGCGCGCTCCCCGGGGCGCTGATGCAGCCCGGGGACCGCGGTCTAGGAAGGGGCTTTCCGGGAAGGACGCGGCGCCGCAGGAGGAAGCGAGACAATGGCCTTTGTTCTGCGCGGCGACCGCGGCCGCTTTAAGAGAATCCACCAGGAAATGGGAGCTCGGGTTACAGGCTGCGCACGGGGAAGTGCGGGGCGCGACGCCGGAGACAAAGCCGCGCGGCCGCGCTCGGGCCCGGGGACGCGGCGGGCGGGGGCTCCCCGCGACGGGGGGCGCCCCTCGGCCTGACCTCCCGCCTTCCCCGATTCGAATTCCCCCGGCCATTTAAAGCCACAGCGGCCGCTACCAACCGACGTAGGTGACTGGACTACAAAGTTGACAGGGCGCGTTCCTGCAGATCTTAGCCCTCCCCTGGGCCGCTGCTCGAGCTCGGTCATTGGCGGAGGGGATGGCCCGGGGTCCTGCAGAGGAGGGGCCGCCAGATTCCTAGGGGCTGAGGCGCTAGTCTTGAGCACCAGCGTTCTGATCGCTCTGCTTTTTTATTGCTATTTATAATCTCTTAAAATGCCCACTGCAGAAGATGGTGTCTAAATTCTAATCCCGCCAGCACATGCAGGATATAATGTGTGGACATATGATGTAGGACTAAATGCGCTACCATTTTGTCTGTTGACGGTAAAATAAACATAAAAACGTGTGTGTCGAAGCGCATTATAATTCGTGTTCCCTGCTGAGGACCACTCTGATTTTCCAGACCCTCCCCTCTGTTTCCACTGGTTTCTTAGCGGGAGAGGGGGAGGGGGCAGGGTTGTTTTGAAGCAAGGTCTCCCATTGTAGCCCTGACTGGCCTGGAACTCACTGAGGCTGACCTGGAACTAGTAAACTATTCTGCCTCTGATGTTTTGTTTTGTTTTTCTTGCACACTTTTCAGCATCATAAAATGTCCACAGACTTTCACAAACAATACTTCCGTTCATGCATTCATCAGAACACTCTGAACGACAGTATTAAAGGGGCTGGGGTAGGAAGGCACCTCCTTGCTGATACAATGGGAACTTTTTTTTTCTTTGAACCTCCAGGCACCACAACCAGTTTTGTCATTGAGTAAGAGAACTCCAGCTCCCAACACATCTGCATTCACCCATTCTTATCCCTCACAAATACCTACCTTTACTCCTGTGTTTTTGTAGCTTTTTGTTGTTGATGTTCCGGTTTTTTGTTTGTTTGTTTGTTTGCTTGTTTGTTTGTCGAGACAATGTCTCTCTGTGTAGCTTTGGAGCCTGTCCCGGAACTCTGGAACTCAACCGAGATCTGCCTGTCTCTGTGTCCAGTCCCTAGTGTTGGGACTAAAGGCGTGCTCCACCACTGCCCGATTTTTGTTGTTGGTGGTGGTGGTTTTATATTAGGATTTTTGCTGAGTTTCTTTTGTAGGTTTGTTTGTTTTGAGACGGGGTCTTGCGCTATTGATCAGACTGGCCTTGGAATCAGATCCATCTACCTCCTGAGTACTGGGATTAAAGGCGTGCACCACCCCACCCAGACAGTTTTTAAATTTTCCTAAGCCTGTAGTCCAGGTTGGCCTCGATTCAAAGCCGAGAATTATCCCTAACTTTTGATTCTGCCTCCACCTTCCAAGTGCTGGAAAGACAAGCCTGGGTCACTGTGCATGACTCACCCTTATTCTTTGGGGGGGGGGGTGCTTAAACATCCTTTTATTTGTTGGTTTGTTTATAGTCCTGTAGGCTGAACCCCCGTCTCAGGCACTCTAAGTTAGGGCTTTACCTCTGACCTCCCCAGCTAAACAGTTGTTTTTCCTTTGCTTCTCCTAACTGATGTTTGGAGACCCTGGATTGGAGGGGTTTTTGCTGAGTTAAGTCCTGTGCCCCTACATCACTCATCTATCAATAGGATCTCTGATGACTTCTCCGTTTCCAAGAGATGGGAAGAGGTAGCACCTAATTAATAAGATTTTCATAAATATAAAAGGATATGCCCAGTAGTCTTTCCTTATCCATGGAGGATGTATACCAAGAGGCCCAAGTGTATACTTAAAGCCAGGCATATATGTTGTAGGGAAAAGGGGCCAGCCAAAGAAACACATCCTGAGCAGAGCCAAGGAAACACACTTTGGCCCTGCAACCAGAACCAAAGAAATGCACCCTGACCCTGAAACCAGTGCCAAAAGAACACACTTTGTCCCTGGAATCAGAGTCATCGAAAGAAATGCACCCTGGCCCTAAAATTGGAGCCAAAAGGCTAAAAAGGACCAGAGAAAGAAACACACTTTGGCTCTGAAACCAGAGCCAAATCTGACCCTAATCCTGTGCAGAAAACTGGCCAAAACTAACCAAGCCAATCTGAGCTCAGCACTAAAATCTGACCAATCGCCACCCTGGAAGCCCTATATAAACCCTGTGTCTGTTCAGCTTATGTCTGTTCGAACTACCCGGATGTTTCTGCCACTCTGGCAAAGGGCAGCCACTCTCCTGGACTCTTCCCTTCCAATAAACCCCTTCAATGAGCTTTAGGTGAAGATCATCTTTTGCAACGGAGCAGAGGCGACCCTGGGCAGAGCAGAGCAGAACAGAGCCAGCAGGGCTGTAACACTTGCCCAGGAAACCTTCCCTTGGCAGAGCAGAGTTGTTACACTCAGCTCCTTGCTCTCTGCTCTCTGCTCCAGGAGCAGAGCTGAACTGTAGCTACTTTGCCTGAGAAACCTCCTGCCGAGCAAAACTGCTACACTAGGCCAACATCCCCAGCTGGAAGACCCTGAGCCAGTACACTGTGGCAGCCTTTCTCTGAGGCAAGGCTGTAAGCAGCTAAGCTTATTGCAACCTGTGGTGGTCCTTGGCTCCCGAGCTCCAGGATACCTTTCCACCTGAGCTGTGTAACACTCAGTATTCTGTGACTCCCAAGTGCCAGAATACCTGACCCACTCCTGTTCCATCCTGATCCGCCCAAAACGCTTACATTTGGTGCCGAAATCCGACCAAAATGCTTACATATATTGTAGGGAAAAGGGCCAGCCAAAGAAACACACCTTGAGCAGAGCCAAAGAAACATACTTTGGCCCTGGAAACAGAACCAAAGAAATAAATGTACCCTGACCCTGAAACCAGTGCCAAAGAAACACACTTTGTCCCTGGAATCACAGCCAGTGAAAGAAATACATCCTGGCCCTAAAACTAGAGCCATAAGGCTAAAAAGGACCAGAGTAAGAAACACACTTTGACCCTGAAATCAGAGTCAAATAAGACCCTAACCCTGTGCAGAAAACTAACCAATCCCTGAGCAGGAGATCTAGGCATCTTAAACTAAGGGATTGAAATCTGACCAATCCCCACCCTGGAAAACTCCGCCCCCCCCCTAAGAATCCCTATAGAAACCCCTGTGTCTGTTCATCTTGTGGCTGTTCAGGCTGCCTGTCCTCTGCCACCCTGGTAGAGGGCAGCCACTCTCCCGGATTCTTCCCTCCCTTCGTTTAGGTTCCAGCATCAAACTCCTGTCTCCAGATGTTCGTGGCGTGTGCCTTTATCTGCTGAGCCATCTCACCAGCCCTCAACTTACATCTGCAACTATCACCGTCTGTCTTCAAAGAAAGTAACTGTGGCCTAGTATAGTGGTGCCAGCCTTTAATCCAGTGTGTCTCAACATGAGGCTCGGGACCCCTCTGGGGTCAAATGACCATTTCACGGGGGTCACATATCAGACATCTTACACATCAGATATTTACATTAGGATTCATCATAGTAACAAAGCTACAGTTACTAAGTGGCAATGAAAATAATTTTATGGTTGGGGGTCATCACAGCATTAATTAGGGAGGTTGAGAACCACTGCTTTAATCAGAGCACTTGGGAAACAGAGGAAGGCCAATCTCTGTGAGTTCAATGGCAGCCTGACAGTCTCAAAACACACACACACACACACACACACACAAAATAGCAAACAAAAATAATGTTACTCTGTTAATAATATAACATATAATAAATTAATAATTGCATAATTCTACCTATTGCTCTCCTATCTTCTGTGATACTCTGGTTTTATGTTTTTGCTTCTCTTGTTATAAAATGTACTGTAGATTGTACTGTTTTGATATATGGAAATGTATAACTATTGTGTATGGTGACTGTGAAAATGTCTCTTTAATTTGTGTAGATATTTCTCTTTTCTCCTTTTTCGTTATTATTTCCCGAAAATCTGGCTTTCCACCTAACATGACTTCTCTCTGGCCTCATTTCTTTCAGTGTCCGTTGGTGATGAACTCTATCAGCTTTGGTCTATCTGAGGGTATATTTACTTTCTAGCCATTTATGAAGGATAATTTCACTGTATATAAACATAAAATTGGTTGATTGTTTTCCCTTTTGGCAATTTTGTTTTACAGTTTTTTAAATCTTTTCTTTTTCGTGTGCGTGGGTGCTTGGCTTGAGTGTATGTTTGTGCACCGGGTACATGCGGTGCCTATCAAGGCTAGAAGGGGGCATTGGAGGCCCTGGCTCTGGAGTTACAGACCCTTGTGAGCCACAATGTGGGTCCTGGGAATTG